GGAGATAATCTAGCAATGGATGTGGAAGACTTTTGAATATGCCTCTTCAAGGTGTGACCAAATCTATAGTTTTTTTTTTTTTTTTAATTTATTGGAGTTAACTCTTTTGATTTATGATTTAAATTTTATCTTGAGTGGATTTCAAAACAAGTTCCATAATAATAAAAAAATAGGTAATATTTTTTTTAATTTTTTTTATCATGGTCAATAAAAATTGGATATATGTATATCAATTGCTAGAGAGATTAATTAATTATATTTATGTTAGAAGAAAGAAAGAGAGAAATGAACCATTTAAACACTGAAATCACCTCTACCAGCCCCCTTTCCAATTATTGAGCTTCACAAAGCCACAGAAAGCAAGCATCAGACAAATATAAAAAACGTAAATTCCACGCAACAACAGCATGAAGAATATTAAATTATGCAAATATCAGTGGCAATTCCATGAATATCTGAATTAAATAAAAAATTATAACCTTCACCAACCTCACTACACTATTTATTTATTAACAATACCAGAGGAAAGTGCACGGCATCTGGGTCCAATTTGGGTGCTTAATTTAATGAATTTCCTTTTTTATATATATAAAAAATTGGTAAACAGGTCAATCGATATAATCAACAAGCTTTTATACTAAGATTTGGATTATTCATACACGCATTTATTATATGAAAATGTCAATTTCTCATTTTTTATTACCCTCTCCACTCGGGATACACGAAATAAAAATAATAGACGTAGAAAGATATTTAGCTCAAAAAATAAAATATAAATCTATGAGTTTTTTATTTTTAAATATTTTTTTTATTATTACATGATAAAATTCTAATTTTATGCTCAATCACTTATATATTTGAAAATATAATAATAATTGTGATTTAAATTATTTTTTATTTAAAAATATATTAATATAATATATTTTTTATAATATATCTCAAAAAATAAAAAAATAATTTTAACAAAATAAAAAATTAAATTTTAAAAAAATATGATTTCATTGCGTCTTCAAACACAGTTTAAAAACATTTAAAAGTATAGTAGTTATTGTTTTTAAAAATATTTTTTATTTTAAAATATATTAAAATAAAATTTTTTTATTTTTATTTTTAATATTAACATGTTAAAATAATTTAAATATATATTAATTTAAAATAAAAATAAAAAATTTAAATTATTTTAAAAATATCTCCAACACACACGTTGACAAACACTCCAAGACTTTCTATAAAAACAAATAGTAGAATCTATTTTTAATGCAGTAGTTCTTTTATAATTTAGACTTTAAAGTTTATCATAATAACCAATTAGTCCTTATACTATTAAAAACAACCAAACAGTCTTTGACCAACTTAACTATCTTCAATGCAAAAGTTTTTTTCTCTGCAAAACACATTTTTGTGTTTTTTTCTGATCAGAATTTTCTATCTCACCTTCTTCTCTCTCTCTCTCTCTATTTATTTTTAGAAAAAATAAATTAAAATAAATAGAAAAAGAACATTGCATTGACAAAAGAACAAGCAGATTTTAAAATATGATGATTTAATAATAAATCTTGAAACTAAAAGGTTTAATAAGTTAATATCCTAAAATTTTAGGGACTAATTTATAATTATTTCTTAACAAGCATGGCATCTTGGAAAGTCCAAAGTCCAAACATGAACACAGGCCAAAAAGCCACCATTTTTTGGTTCTTAACTGGCTCTTCTCTTATTTATTGCAAGCTTCCCTCCTCTCCTCTTCAGCTAACAAGAAACCATTGAAAAAAATACATTTATAAGATCACCATTTTCAGATCCTCAGATCTCTGTTCTGGTACTTTTTTTCAATAAAGTTTGAAGCTTTTTGAGGATTATTATCAATGGCAGAGAAACCATGGGTGAGGATGGTGACTGCACAGACACCAACAAATATAGCTGTGATAAAGTACTGGGGCAAGAGAGATGAGACCTTGATTTTGCCTGTTAATGATAGCATAAGTGTCACTCTTGATCCGGCTCATCTTTGTACAACCACAACTGTTGCTGTTAGTCCTAGTTTTGACCAGGATCGGATGTGGCTCAATGGAAAGGTAGTCTTTTTTCTCATTTTTCTGTTTCAGTTTGGTTGCTGTGGAAGTTCTTGAAATGGGATTTCAGTGGGTTTAATGATTCATTTAGATAGTGAATTTTTGTGGGTTCTCTTTGTTTTGTATGTTTAATGGTTATTTGGGACCTGGAGAGAAGGGAATGTACTGGATTAAGCTTTACAGTCAGATTTTGTTCTCTTAAACTCTTTCCTTTTCTGAATTGGACGTCAACATATTAGAGAATTTCTTTATTTGAAACCGTACTGTTTAAACAGATTTTGGAATTGCATGTCAGCTTGCCTAGTTCATAAAGTCATGTGGTAGCGTTGTTGTAGTGATGTACTTGTGCATGTACTTATATCAAGGATGGTGAGCATAAGGGAGGAAGAGGGCTAACTTGTTGTGTTGAGAATCCTGTGTGGTTTATCATCAGGGAAACTTTGATGTGTTTTTCATTGCATCCTATTTGGTTGTTGAGAAAATGTGAGGAAAGGAAAAAATTGATTGAGACCAGATACAAGATTTGATATTGAAAGGATGGACATGGATCTAGATTGGATAAAATTTAATTGCATTTCAATTTCCCTGTAAATGAGAAAATTTGCTAGTTATGGGTCTTTGTAGCTAAGCAATATGTAAATGGTTGCTGGGTTCGTGTTGAAATTCTCTACCTCACTGCTGACTCATGGCACATTTGGTTTTTGCTGGTTAGCGTAGGAGATTTCCCTTTCTGGAGGCAGGTACCAAAATTGTTTAAGGGAAATTCGTGCCCAGGCTTGTGATGTTGAGGATGAAGAGAAGGGTATCAAGATTGCAAAGAAGGATTGGGAGAAATTGCATGTGCATGTTGCTTCATACAACAATTTCCCTACTGCTGCTGGACTGGCTTCCTCTGCAGCTGGCTTTGCTTGTCTTGGTAAACATTTTCCCTGAATTTTCCTTGCTATGTTCACCCCCCCCCCCTTTTTTTTTTCTTTTTTATGGTTGGGCCTGTATTTGTAAACATAATTTCTGTTTACTTCATTGAATGTTTGTGCTGGACTTAACAGTTCTGAGAAATTCTTGTGAATGAACAATCCAAGTTTCGTATTGTTTAGGAAAACAGATGCAATTCTTGCTCAATGCTTAAATTTATTCAGAATCCTCTAGTCTAGCTTTATCATGGATGGAGCTTGGTATGTGGAATGATTATTCATTAATCGCTTTTGTTGAAAACACTCACAATAAAGCTTACTGCATATAATTATGGGGTCCATGTTGAAATTGACCAACTTGGCAAATAGTTTTCATGAATCTGCCAGCTAGCTTTTCTGGATTATAATCACTGATGTGTACACATTTTTTTTTTTTATAGAAGCTCATATATAGAAATGCAACAAGCTAGACAGAAATGCTTCCTATTAAGGGAGCAGTTTTCAACTTCGAGGAGCCCTTTTACTGTTTTTTCTGCTTTATATCTGCAGGGCTGTAGTATCAATTGCAATCTTGTATGGGACTGGAAGAATTTATTCATCATGACATCATCTGTTTTTATCTTCTTATGTAGTTTTTGCCCTTGCAAAGCTGATGAATGCAAAAGAAGACAATAGTGAACTTTCTGCTATTGCAAGGTATACCTTAATAGCACATGCATAATTTTAAGTGCTTGGTTTTATGTTTTTTTTTGTCTTTACATCAATAATTTTGAGTAGCATGAAACATTTTTTCCCCTAGAATTTTATTCTTCATATGCAGCTGCTATTTACATGCTTCATTTATTCCACTATATCCTCATACAGCTGTCACCACCAAGAAATATTTATTATTTTGAATTCTGGCTACATGCATCTTTGCTGATACCTGATTGCTCGTTCTTGGCTTACATCAATGATTGTATTTGATAACAATGATATCTTTAAATAATTGGTAAGTTGGTTTATAGGGAGCTGTCTTTAAGTAATTGATAAGTTGGTTTATTGGGTGCTGTCTTGACTTATTATATAGTGAGTGATTCAAGCATGCTAGTTGCTATTAACATTTGATATTTTATGAACATTGTTTCATTGGAAAGGTTCTTGCAATGTTTGATATTTTGTAAGCTTTGTTTTTCAGGCAAGGTTCTGGCAGTGCCTGTCGCAGTTTATTTGGTGGATTTGTGAAGTGGATCATGGGAAAAGTAAGTTTGATTTTGAGGTTCATCCATGGAGCCTTCTGATTAAATTGCTCTATCCCATTTTGAGCAATTAATTATGATGCATTGTTTTTTAATATGTCAAGGCTGAGGATGGAAGTGATAGCCTTGCTGTTCAACTTGTAGACGAAAAGCACTGGGATGAACTTGTTATTATTATTGCTGTGGTATGTATTTTTCCCTTCTTTAGGACTCGTTAGTCTGAATTTAGTTTGAGTTGCCTCTGGACTCTGGGAATAGCGGTCCTGAAAATAATTTTGATTTTTCTTTGTCCTGTTGTTGTAGTAAACAGAGTTGTGATTTTGTTCTCCAGGTAAGTTCACGGCAGAAAGAAACAAGTAGCACCACAGGAATGCGGGACAGTGTTGAAACTAGCTTGCTTTTGCAACACAGAGCTAAGGTGCTTTTCAATTCCCTTAATTTGATTTCATGCAACGTCTCTTCTTAAGCAGTTGTCTTTCTTCAATTGCAAAAAGTGCTCTTAGCAGTTGACATTTCTAGACATAAATGGAGCTGGAGCTGTATTCTGAATCTATTCTGGATGATAACCATGCTTTGTGATTTGCACACTGCCTTTTCCTTGCTGTTCAGATTAAGATTTTCTATGAAATTTAATCCTCTCTTTGCCCTTTTTAGCTGTCTTCTGATCAATGCATTCTGAAATTCTTTGAAATTTATTTAACTTTTGGTATTATCTCCTTCCTGTTTTGGACTAAATAGGAAGTTGTACCAAAACGCGTTAAACAAATGGAAGAAGCCATAAAGAATCGTGATTTTGGATCTTTTGCACAATTAACCTGTGCAGATAGCAATCAGTTCCATGCAGTCTGCTTGGATACATGTCCCCCAATATTCTACATGAATGATACATCTCACAGGCAAGTAAAGTTTCTCGATTTATGTGACATGGAAATTTAAGCTTCATCAATTATTTATTTATTTGCCTGTTAAGCCCTTCACCAGACATAGAGTTTAGTTTTAATGTAGTGACTATATTTCAGGATAATCAGCTGTGTTGAAAAATGGAATCGCTCAGAAGAAACACCTCAGGTTTTTTTTTTCTATCTTTTTTTTGTTTATATACGCCACATTCTAGGAGCTTAACAAGCAAGTTCCAGATAAATTCTAGGAGCTTAACTTAGAAGCAAGTTCCAGATAGAATGTGACGGCACTAACTTCGTTATTTTTCAAAAATTTGATCATAGATGATGGTCAAGCTTGGGGCACAGATGATTGTATAGGTGATTTAGGGATGATAACATAATAAAATTTCCTTCTCAATTGTCTAATTATAGTATATAGTTTTCATTTGTTCTTTTTGCAAACATGTTCTGTAATATAGCTGATCTTGTGTGGTTCCTCAAGTACAGATATACTTTCCTGCTGTTGCTGAAATATCATGAGATAATTTATTTGGTATTGGGTTTTGTAACTGAAAATGTATCACTTCATCACATCAAATATGAAGCTTCTTTTCACTTGTGGCTCGTGCTATTTTACCTATCCGTGATGACTTATCATAACATTGTTTTAATGCATGCAGCTCCTTTCTTTTGTTGTTGATTTTCCTAGAATAAAAAATGAAAGAAAAAAGAAACAAAATGATAGTTTGAATCCTACTGGTCCTGCCAGCTAATGGTCACAGTTTCCAAATGTGTAATGGTTGGCTAATGATGAGATTTCCTTGACAGGTAGCTTATACGTTTGATGCTGGGCCCAATGCAGTTCTGATTGCACATAATAGAAAGGCTGCTACCCAGTTATTGCAGAAGCTGCTTTTTTACTTCCCTCCAAGTTCCGATGCTGATTTGAACAGGTATATTGTCTTCCAATGTCAAGGTCACAAAAGATTTTGGTGCAATGTTTTGGAGGCTATGCATGATTTATACAACCCCATCAATCATTTTCAAATAATCAAACTTTTTTTCCTCAGTTATGTTATAGGTGATAAGTCTATACTAAAAGATGCTGGGATTGAAGATATGAAGGATGTGGAAGCTTTGTCACCACCTCCGGAAATTAAGAATGCCCAGAGAAGCAAAGGAGACGTCAGTTATTTCATCTGTACGAAACCTGGTAGAGGTCCTGTTTTGCTCTATGATGAAAGCCAGGCTCTTCTCCATCCTGAAACTGGGCTGCCCAAATGAACTTAGGAGCACATTTAACTTTTCATGCACTTCCGTACTTTTTAGTCTTTGTTGACCAGAGTTGGACACTTCTGTGAGCCTGAAGTGATTCTCTCAACTGTTCCTCGCAAATTTGCAGTTAATGCTGCTTTTGCCTTGCATTTGTAATTTATTTTATATTTCAGTCCATTCAAGTTTTCGGTCTCAACAATGAATAATCTATCCGTTGCTCCTTCTAGGCTCCTTTCAGCTATTAGCCTTAAATAATTTTTATGATGTTTCCGAAATTTTGTATCAGTTTCTGTCATAAATCAATAAATTCTTGGTTTACCTGTTATGTTTGTTATTTTTCTTCATTTTTGCCAGTGTGCTGGCATTCCCGACACAATTCCCCTTAAAGGCTCCAAAGACTCAATAGATTGTTGGCTTACCTGTTATTTATCTTCATATTTGCAAGTGTGCTGGCATGCTATTATGCAGGGGTTTTTTTTGGCTATACTGTGGTGTTAGATATTCCAAAGTTGATCTGCCTCGCATTCGCAGCTTAAGCGACTTCATCATTGGACTATCTAATGGAAACGCCATCCAGCTAATGCTAAGCTGTGAAATGTAGTGTCGAAATATAACATTTTTGCAACGTGACCAAATCTCAGTTGCAGACACATGGTTTGTACAGCAGAAAGACATACAAGATGTTTGAACATAATCAGGGATGCACTGTTCACCCACCTAGCCCTACCACAAATAGGATCAATCCCGTCCCAGAAAAGGAACCTTTAAAATCTGTCCGAAGTTCTGTGGGATTGCGGTGAATAAATGTCCAGCACCAGGAACCTCATGGTAGTTAATCCATGGAAGTCTTTGGGCAATATATCGCTGCAAGCTAAACGGCACCATTATATCTTCATCACCCTGCCATAGATGAACTGAGCCTTCATTGTTAGGAAAAGGATTCTCAAGATCCATGGGATCAAATTCCCACTTCCCAAATCCAATCATCATGTCTCGATGTAAGGATTCAAACACTCCTTGCAGCGTTGCTTGTGGCTGCATAAAAAGAGAGAGTAAAGGTCGAAATGAGATGGGGTTTATAAGAATTCTGGCACGTTACTATCCATTCGTGGATGAAAAACAAAGCCTATCATCCTATTGCAAGATTATGCATGAGATGATGGAATATCTTTTTTTCGCCTCCACTTTCAGACAGAATTTATTAAGATACTCATGGTTTGTGATTCATTTCCTTGTAATGAAAAAAAAGAGAGTAACAAGAAAATGAAGTACCCTATTGCTTCTCTTCTCTGCGATCATGGATAGGAGTTCTAAATCCTGGCGGGATAAAATATCAGGCTTCATGGATATAGCAGCTGATGCAGGAAACCATTTCTGAGTGTTCCACCAGTAGGTGAGCCATGGAGTATGGTGAGCAACAAATAATGCCCAATGATCCTGTCGTATCTGTCGGTAGTAGGCTTCTGCTGATAAGTTCGCAGGAAAGCCAGGCCACCAATAGTTGACAACAGGAGCAATTAGTGTCGCTCCTGATAGCCTGGAAGAAACAAGAGCACATGATTTGAAGCAAAAAATAACACCAGACAGAACTGTGAGGCAACATATCACAAACAAATCTCGAGCAGATTCCTGATACTAGAATACACTTAAGAACATTGACAATTATTTTTCATAGCATGCTTTACTTTCTTTTAATTGAGTTCTTTCTTGAAATTACTGTATTTTTTGATGCAACATCCCGCATTCTGAAAGTTGGCAGAACATCGCCAATGTAGCAAATTTACCAGAATTGCAAGTAAAACAGTCTCACCTATGAGGGATGTACTTGAGGCAGCCCCAAACCACTTGGCCTCCCATGGAGAATCCCATCACATAAAATTTATATCCTAGTCCTAAATGATCAGCAAGCTCTTCTATATCTAAAGCTAAACTTTTAGGAGTTCGCCTGGGATCTGGATCGCTTTCTCCGTAACCTGGCCGATCAAAGGACACAAAGTACAACCGCAGCTCCTCAACAACATCCTGAAAATCATCACATAAAATGAGGGGTAAAAGTTAGATTTCTCCATCAACAAATACAATCTCTTGACCAGTGAAACCTTAAAGAGTCAAATTAAAACATAAATTTAGAAATAAATTACCAGAACGGGTTCTGTCATACTCATTATATCATGTTTCGTAGAGGCAAAACCATGAACAAGTACGATCTTAGCTTTGGCAGTTTCTTTAGAGACGCCATGCTCCTTGTAGGATAAATGCCTCCCATCCCTCAGCTTCATTCTAGGCGCTGTAATGGGAGGGCCACCCAGGGTTCCACAAATCTTTGGAGGTGGTGGCTGGGTGGCCTGATATGCCCATACCGCCAACCCAAGAAATAAGATCACAGTAACCTCCTTGAGCATCCCTAGGAAAAATGAGAGTTTTTTCACAAGCTGGGCCATGAACTTGGAGAAATTTTAATCAACTTGATACTGACAATAATCGCCCAGATTAATCTGATTGTCACAAATTATTCTCGAACACAGCTAAATTATTTTGTTTTACAACATCAACCAAAAATCTGTTTCATTTAACAGGCTAATTATCAGCATTAACAAAGACCAAAACACACTCTCAGTCATGAAAGACTCTTCATAAATTTATGGGAAATATGTATTACTCCAAAGATCTTGGAAATTAAGAAACAGTCATACTCATCTTGGAATCATATTATCCGTTTCTAGCAGACAAATAAGCAAGCGTTCAAAGATGAAACCAGTAAGAGAAATAAAAACAGTGAAGTATCTTCCTACTACATTTCTTATCTCTATTGTTTCAACAAAATAAGATGTCCATCCATCCAAACTCTACATAGAAAATTTAGCTAATACTTCATACTTGTGAGAGTAAAAAACATCAAGAAACTTGGGAGGGAGACATAACAAGAACCTGAGAAATTAACAGCCTCCCCAGTAACTGTGTGCGCGAGGGAAAGGGAACCTGCCAGAAATAAAATGAAAAGTTTCTTCTTTTGAAGCAGCTACTGCAGTTTCTTGCTGACTTCCATCACATCTTATAGTCAAAATTTCACTTGGTAGATAATGACCAAAGGATATCTAAGGTAAGAAAAGTGTTAGCTCAAGATAGATGGTAAAATATGTCGAGCAGATTCAATATAAACGTACCTACTACTTGTGTTTGAATAAGACCCCTTTGACTTGTGATCTTCCCAACCATTTCTTCAAACCTTATGTTCACGGATGGAAATTATAAAAAAAATGTTTTCCCAAATATAAAATGAATCATCACATACTATTTTAAAAAAGCAACTCCAGCAATATTATTTTGAAAAAATAAAAATAAAACAACATTGCTGTCCATAAAAGTTTTTTTAAAATTCATTGTAGATGATCTCTTAATTAAATTTAACTAGATTAATCAAGTCTTATATTAAATCCTTAGATTAATTAAATTTAACTGAATAAATATCCAAAATAAAAAATAAAAAAAACGTGACATCCATTTTATTTTATATCAACAAATTATCGAATAAATTCTATTATTTATCAAGGATGGCTAAATAATTATAGTAAAAAATATGATTTAGACACAATATTTAAACAAGTGATTTCATTTGATAAATATCTTATTCAAAATATTTTTTTTAGATTTTTTTATTAATTTTTAATATCAATATATCAAAACTATAAAAAATAAAAATAAAAAATAGTTTTTTAATATTAATATATCAAAACTATAAAAAAAAAATAAAAAATATTAATTTAATATTTTTTCAAGATAAAAATATTTTTAGGAAACATAAAAAAAAACATTGAAACACCTTTTGAAATCATCAACTTGAAAAATACAAAAAAAACATTAATTAGCTTTGACTTCGACCAACATCAACGGCCCCATCAAAATCCCAAAGGGGGTGGCTAACAATTGGTTGTTCTTTTCCTTCCTTGCGTACATGAACAAAGAAAAATCATAATGTATGGTCAATGTATTTTCTCTAGAAACACCATGCTCCTTGTAGGCAACGCCTCCCATCCCTCGGTTTAATTCTTGATGCTGTATGTGGGAGGGCCACCTGGGGAACCACTAGTCTTCTTGGGTGGTGGTTGGGTGGCCTGATATGCCCATACCACCAACCCATGAAACAAGACCACCGCAACCTTCTTGAGCAACCCTAGTAAAATGGGAGTTGTATCATGTCATTTGTTACTGACATTAACCAGATTAAATTAATCGTTGCAGATGAATCTCTAACGCAGCTAGATTTTTTGGTTTTACATTATATCAAATCCAACACAAATTTGTTTCATTGAATAGGCTGTAAATGTATCAACATTATCGAAGGTAACATCGAGAAAAGCCGATCTAAAACAAGGGTTTGGAGAGACTAGCAGTGAAGAAAGACTACCCTCGTAGATGCATGATTTGCAGAAGGAAACTAGATCAGAGATGGTCGAAATCAACTTGTAAATTGGAAGGATTAATCATATATACCCTCTGTTTTAGCAGAAAATGAAGCAAGCATTTAAGCGTTGCAGCAAAAATCAAAATACTCCGAGAAACTATTGATTTTGAGAATTCATTTTGAAATTTATTATCCGAACAATAGTTTATAACAAGAATGTTGTTTTCATCAACTACGTGGACATAAATGCATATACTATTAAATCTTGAGTCGGGTATGGGTTAGGTTTCAAGTCGGGTAGGGTAGTATTCATTACCTGCCCGAAACCTAACTTTGTCCTTTAGGGTTTTATCCAAACCAGCCGCAGCGATCAACAACTATCCATTCATATCTGTTTGGGCGGATATCCATGGGTTCCGTTAAAACTGTGATCCCTGGTAGCGAACTTTGAGAATAGAACTAGGGTCGTCATACAATCTAGTTGCAATATTGTTTGAAACTAAGAATAGAACAAGGTTACGGTGCCATGAACCTAAGAAGAAAGGCAAACAAATGCTGACGCCTACTAAGCTCGAAAGAGGGCTAGTTTTTTTCAAGCAAAAGAGTCTTTATGATCGCTTCGCATATCTCTGGGATGTAAGGGAACATGTGTCCAGAGCCAGATATCTCATGGTAGTTTATCCAGGGAAGTCTTTGGGCAATATATCGTTGCAAGATAACAGGCACCATCTTATCTTCATCACCGTGCCATAGATGAACCGAGCCTTCATTGTCAGGAAAGGGATTTTCAAGATCCATGGGATCGAATTCCCACTTCCCAAACCCAATCATCATGTCTCGATGTATGGTTTCAAATTTTCCTTGCCGCATTGCTTGTGGCTGCATAAAATGCAAGGAGATATTCCAAATCAGGCGGGAAGATTCATAAGCACTTGTTAAGGATCAAGTAGTATGTGACCAATAACATTTCTTAGAGTGGAGTCAATCATTTGTTCGGTCTAAATCAATTTCTAACTGAATCTCCAGAACTTCTGGTTCAAAAAACTCTTCTGCTTCTAATATATCAAAGGAAAATTGGAAGTTCTGCAGTGTCTTATTCTTTCCACAAGCCAGTTCCAAAAAACAAAAGGTTCTAAGGCAGCCCCTGTAAAACTAGAATTCCGGCCAGTTACTGTTCTCTCCTGGTTAAAAGATCAAAAATTATGTATGCGATGGTAACTTTCTCACTGGCAGTATCTTCTTCTTGCCACCAGTTTCAGAGACACGAAATATGTCAGGATAAACTTGATTTATGGTTGATTTCCTTGTAATGTGGAAAGAGAGAAAGAAAACGAAGTACCATGTTCATTCTTCCATCTGTCTCCATGGAAAGGAGTTCTAAATCCTGACGGGAGAAAACTTCAGGTTTACGGGCTGCAACCGCCGATGCAGGAAACCATTTCTGAGTGTTCCACCAATAGGTGAGCCATGGAGCATGGTGAGCAACACGCAATGTCCACTGGTCCTGAGGTAGCTGTAGGTAGTAGGCTTCTGTTGATAAGTTGGCAGGAAAGCCAGGCCACCAGTAGTTGACAACAGGCGCAATTAGAGTTGCTCCTGCTAGCCTGCAGCACCATGGGCACCGAGCTTAAAACACATAATAACTCCAAACAATGATATGAGCCAAAGCAGAAAAAGCCACCAATTGTTTACATTGGGCACAAATTATCCAGCAGATTCTTGACGCTCCAATAAAAGAACTGTGGTCATTATTTTAGATAGCCTGCTTTATTTTCTCACTTCTGATATATTTTTGAATTATTGTATGATGTTCATGCTTTGTCCCAGATCTTAAACAGCAGGCGGAACATCCTCCAGATAAGCACAATTGTCGTCATAACAGCAAGAAAACTGTCTCACCTGTGAGGGATGTACTTGAGGCAGCCCCAGACCACTTGACCTCCCATAGAAAACCCCATCACATAAAATCTGGATCCAAATTCTAAATGATCCGCAAGCTCTTCTATATCTAAAGCTAAACTCTCCGGAGTTCGCTTTGGATGTGGATCACTTTCTCCATAACCCGGCCGGTCGAAGGACACAAGGTGGAATCCCAGCTCCTCAACAACTTCCTGACAAACAAAAACGATACAATCTCTTAACTAATGGAACTTTAAAAGGGCTAAACACAAAGATTTAGAAATATTGGAATACGTACCGGAGAGAGTTTTTCCACGCTCATTGTATTATGTCTCATAGAGGCAAAGCCATGAACATATATGATCTTATATTTGGCAGTTTCTCTAGAGACACCATGCTCCTTGTAGGCCAAATACCTCCCATCCCTCAATTTTATTCTAGGTGCTGTAATAGGAGGGCCGCCTGGGGTACCGCAAATCTTTGGAGGTGGAGGGTTGGTTGCCTGATATACCCATACCACCAACCCAAAAAGCAAGGCCGCTCTAATTTCCTTCTGCATCTCTGCAAAAATTAGAAGAAAAAAATAAAAATCCAGAGACCACTAAAAAACCAGAGAAGAATTTAGTCACGCTGATGACAGCCCAGAGAAATTTGATTGTTACAAAATTGACGATGAACTTCCATAATTTATCCCCAAGATTTTTCATTTTTCAAAGATCAAATCCACAAAAAAGTTTTTCACATTTTACCAACATTAACAGAGATCATAACACAGAGAAAATCAGGTTTGAATCAATCAAGAAAGGCTATGACTATAAATTTCTGAGAAATACAAGAAATTCTAAGAATCATATCCAGACAGTGAATTTCACTGCTTCAAAAGAAAAGAAAAGGGCATGCTCAGCTTAAAACAAGTCGAACAAATATTATCTGCTTCCAGCATAGATTGAAGAAATGAGTCGGTCATTGGAAAGATCATCCAAATACTAAAAGAAACAAAAAATTTGGCATCCATTCGCTTTGTCAAGCAAAAACGTTACTTAATATTTATAAATTTCAAAGTGGACATACCCCACCAACAAACTTAAGTGGTTACTTATGAAGAACAGGAAGCAAAACAACGCAGTCCATGTCTGTTTTGTGTGTGGGAGAGAAAGAGAGGAGAGAACCTGCAAGAACCTGAAATGAAGTTGTACTGAATGAGCTGATAGATTTAGCAATTAAGGCGCCGCTACCACAGCTTTTCACAAAAAAATTGTAATTTAAAAAAAAAAATTAATTTCCTAAATAACATCCTCGGACCTCAATCTTTTTTTTTTTTTTTTGATTTACGTAGGGTGTCCGGGCCAGCTTACGCGCACCATGACTAATCCCCACGGCCCACTGAACACCCTGCAAACCCAGCAGACAGGTAAGGCAGCGCGGGGCTGACAGGCATGCAACTCCAAGGCTCGAACCCGTGACAGCAGAAGGCGCAAAGCGCCATTCCACCGCTGGGCCGGTGCCTTAGGTGCTCGGACCTCAATCTTTCGTTGTACATGGAGAGTGGCAGAAAATAAAGGAAAACACATCTTTTTTTTTTTTAATTAAATTAAATATAAGGGTTGGTTCTTAAAAGCAAGCAGGTTAAATTAGAAAAAGGGTGCGCCCTCACATTGTCCAATGACCAAGGAATTGGGTGGGCAAATGAACTGTGTCGTCATAAATATTAATAAAAATTGAATTGAAAATTAACCATATTGAATGATAATCTTGGTTAGAAAATTCAAAAAAAAATTCTTTTTATTTCTTTTAAATTTGAAAGAACAAAAAGACCAATATTGATAGAATCAAATTTAAAAAACTAAGTATATATAATAAAAAACAGGAATAAATACTAAATAAAACTAATTACCTATTAAATCAATATCCATAAAGAACAGCTCTATTAATTCAAATTGAATTTATTTAGGTTTAATACAAGCTGGAAAAAAAAAAGCCTAGATTTTTTTACACAATTCAGAATTGATTTCCTTGGCATCCTTATCCTCTGCAGTATCATCCCTTATCAAAGCTATGAGCATCGTTGAATTGCAAAAACCATGCTGCTAAAAATTCATTAATGGCCATGGGAGAACAGCTCATGAAACTTTGCAGTTTCTAAGTGGAAGAATATAGTATATATACATATGGTTAATAAATATAAACGAGTCAAGGGGTTGTGATTTGATTAGTATTAATATTTATTCTCTAATTAAAAAGTTCTGAGTATAATTATTAAACTTATTTGTTGATCAACTTATAATAACTTGTTGGTTTAAAATTTAATTTATAATGGAATTAGTTTTTAATCATATTGACAATTAATCTAATCAAACTCAAATAATACAATAAATTAACACATAATTTGATTAATCTGATCCAGATTAATTATCTCAATTCTATTTTTTGTTTTTATAACAAAAAAGGAAACATAAAGGAGCATAATATGTACAATAATTCATCCTGATGGGACTGTCACTTAACTGAGGGTGAGCCATCGCTGTCATTCTCAAAATTCCACAGCCGCCGTAGAAAAAGAAGGAAAAGGTCCTTTACTCTTGCGCGCCCCACACTCTCATTATATGTATTTGCCCGGTCTGAGCTCTCAAGGACATAGCTTGCTTTAGATTATAGTCGGGGTTATTTTTAAAATAATTTTAGTTTGATAATATATTATAATAATATTTTTTTATTTATTAAAATTTATTTTTAATATTAACATATTAAACAATTTAATAATTTAAAATTAAAAAATAAGTATTTTTTAAAATATAACTCAACCACAAAAATAAATACTGTCTTTATTGTGATACCACGAAAGCTTTAAAAATAAATAAATTTAAGTTTTTGTTGTATTTTAAGATAAACTTTATATATGTTTTTATTTTTATTTTTTATAACCAAATAATTATTTAAAAAAAAACATCCAAAAGCAGAGTGGAAGACAATAAGCTACTGTATAAGAAGATGGAAGTGGGGCTCTTCCTCCCTCGTATAAGAAGGTTTCAGTTGGGGTAATGAATTTTCAGCTAAAAAGACCTGCTCCAACAACCAAAATAATGGCTCATCAATAGTCAAAATCTCGTCCTTCAATCACAAGTTTAGAAGCCTAAATAATGAGGTATTAGTTGGGTGTTTTTTTTTAATATTTTTTCTTTAAAACAATGCAACAGGCTGGTAGGTGGTCACCCCCTCAATAATGTACCATTTTAGAACCTATGCATAGAAAAGTCACAGCTCTAAGACAGATATCAGGACGAGGCGATTGAATTCAACCCAATGAGCAGCTTCTGCAATATGCATAAGCTAGGCCCTGCATGTTTGATTCAACCTAATGTAGAAGCATGCCAGCAAACTCCTGAACATGGTTGTAGACTCTGAGACACTCACCTTTGAAGGATTCTCCAAAACCTATTGAAGTATTTCACCTACTAAAAAATAATATAAATTTTATTTTAAAATTTTATTTAATAATTTAAATTTTTAGATTGAAATAGTTATTAGATATGGTATCAAAACCTTAATGACTAATTGGTCATGAGTTTGAATTTCACTATTCTTATTTATTTAATAAAAATTAAGCACAAGTAGTGTAATTATTTAATAATTTAAATTTTTAGATTGGAATAGTTATTAGATATGATATCAAAACCTTAATGACTAATTAGTCATGAGTTTGATATTTAATAATTTAAATTTTTAGATTGAAATAGTTATTAGATATGGTATCAAAACCTTAATGACTAATTGGTCATGAGTTTGAATCTCACTATTCTTATTTATTTAATAAAAATTAAGCATAAGTAGCGTAATTTTGTGACCGCTTCGTCATTAAGGCTTTGATACTATGTTAAAAACTATCTCAATTTCTTATTTATTTAATAAAAATTAAGCATAAGTAGTGTGATTTTGTGACCGCTTCGTCATTAAGGCTTTGATACTATGTTAAAAACTATCTCAATTTAAAAACTTAAATTATGATTTCTATTATTCTCTAACACATCCCCTCAAGTGAAAGTCTTTTAAATTAAGGCTTTGATACTATGTTAAAAACTATCTCAATTTAAAAACTTAAATTATGATTTCTATTATTCTCTAACACATCCCCTCAAGTGAAAGTCCTCTTGAAACTTACATAAATCCGGGTCCATCTCAACCCAATAACTTAAACTGTTAGATGTGGTTTTAGGATATGATTTATATTATTCTCTAATACACCCTCTCAAGTAAAAGTTTTTTGAGCTTGAAACTTGTACTCACATTACCTTGTGCTTAATTTTTATTAAATAAATTAGAATAATAAAATTCAAATTTATGACCACTTAATCATCAAGGTTATAATATTATTTAAAAGAATCATCTCAATCCAATTATTTAAACTATTAGATAAAATTCTAAAATATAATTTATATTATTCTTTAACGGTAATCACATTTCACTCTCAAGCATTCCATTTTAATGTCATGGAAGAAGAAGAAAAAGAAAACCTGATCGAGTTGCTGATTAGCTCTGACTCTTAAAGGAAATGAAATCCAATGGCTAACGGAGCAAGTGGAGTTACGGTGGTTGATTGGTGCTGGATGTTGCTTGCTTCATGAGAACGAAGAGTGGGAATTGAAGGCAGGCGGACGATATTTTTTCACAAGGAACATGGCATTGTGAGGAGTAGCGATGGTTCGTTTCCACATGAGCTTGTTGAAGTGAAAAAGACCTTTGTTAAGAATACCAACAACCAACATTCATCTTGAACCATATATATGCACCACATTTCATCATTAATCTTCTTCATAAGCTGTTCATAATCCTCTGCTTATGCAGGTATCTCCTTCTGTTTTGCTATAGTCACTTGATGGCACGAATCTGATGTAATTATTGAGTAGATAATGTAGGGACTTGATAAAAGCATTGCGGTGCTTGAACTTTAACCTTTCTGTAGCTCCTTTGCTATGCAGCCATAATAGGAGAAGGCCTTGATAATAAAAGCTGAATTCTATACCATATATCAAGAAGAAACTTTAGATTCCAGTTAGTACTGTGAGGAAAGGAAAAATTGAAAATTGCAGCATGGCACTACCATCTGGTTTTCTTGTTATGGAACTTTCATGGGCTAACTATTTAGATAGCTGCTCTCCTTTTGTGCAAAAGTGCAAGAGCATCAATCTGCCACAATAGCAAGTGTGTTGTTTTTTTTTTTATCACCGATCTGTCTTCGATTCAAGATCTTAATGATGCATCAATTGAACGATCTATTGCTGTATATTGAGTTCAGGGAGCTGATGCACTGACCAAGTTTGTTGGATGCCTGGCTCATTATAAAGTTGCTAAAGGGGCGATCAAGCTTGCTATTCGGCAGTCTTTTCTTGGTATAATTTAGTTGGCAGTTTTTTATTTTATTACACTATATTCTTCTGTTTCTAGTGCTTCTTTTCATTTAGTTGGCAGTTTTTTATTTTATTACATTATATTCTTCTGTTTCTAGTGCTTCTTTGCAATCAGTTTTGTTGACAGAAATTTTAAGATTTTTTTTGGAATCTTCTGTATCTGCAGTATCTACTGACATGGCTCCTGGAGTACACCCAGATTTTATGGAAAAGCATGGAGAAAACCAATGGCCTGAAATGCAACAGGACTTGTTATCAATCTCTCTCTTTTTTGCTTGCAGTGTAAGAGAGAGATCTGCGCAAAGGAAGATATATAGACATTACGTGCAAGTATTTCAAGGTATCCTATCATAACTTTTCAAGCATAGACAAGAAGCAGCAGTTAGATTAAGCTGTGTGTTGAGGCTCACCATAGACACGACTTTGGCGTAAAAGAGAGACCAGAAGATTTCATTTAATAATCAATCATCAAATATATCTTCACAAGCACATTTTTTCCTCTAAAAAGAAAGACTGGCAAGAGTTTCAACATGTAACTAGGCACTCCATGCTCTGCACACAACGAACAAAGGGGGAGAAAAGGGAGGGGGCGTTACTGAATTAAGACATCCACGAATCAGGGCTTGTCAGAATTAACAGGATTTGTTGTAGAACTGGAGCTTGCCTTGGAGTTTGTCTTGGAGAGTTTCTGCTTCAGCTCTGACAACAGTGCTTGATTCTCTTGGTTTAGCCGCTGAGCTTTCTTCCTTAGCATCTCATTCTGTTGGATTATATAACAGTTCTGCAAGTATAGCTGCGAGTTTAGCTTTTCCATCTTGAACACCTGC